TTATACAGCGACACCATTTTGAATTTTTGAAAAGACCACGGTTCATTTAAAAGCTCTTTTCAAGACGAACATTTTCCGGGATCAAACGTTGAAATCCGTCCATATCAATTTTGGACAGAGGCTTGATCGATTTGGCAAAGAATGCCCCATATATATATTTGTCATAATGTAAAACACTAAATCTGACTACTAAAATTAGGTCATGACAGTAAAAGCTACGGCTGTATCATAAAAAGTAAAGAATGTACGATAATGCGATTTTGGGAAAATTAGTAAAAAATTAAAAAATTGTGGTGTACATTGTCAAATCTCATTATACTTTACGTACAAGGTACATCTGCCACCAAGTGTCTACTATATAAATTTGAGCGAATTCGATTCACTTTGACAAAAGTTATGCTCAAAAAATTGAAAGGTGATATAATTTTGACCGGTACTATGTAAGTGTTGTTTCATTAAACTATATTTTCATATATTTTTCAGGAACTTTTATTATTTATTTTCTTACTTTTGACATCACAATATAAGAATTTAGCAGAGCACGAGCATAGCATGGCAGACAATGCATTGATCTATCATACCAGAGATCCCGGTATCCTGGTAGGAACCAAATATTTATGCCCGTATCTCCTGTTAGAAAAGATCGGCAACCTCCTGAGAGTATCCTTGCCCACAGAAACACTTCTCGAAAAATCCATTATTCGGAATCAGCATTAAAACCGTAGGTACCATATATATGCTTGTAGCAATTGAATAATCAGCGTGCGCACCACAAACATATGAGAGAGGTGTAACCTTAAAACAGTGCTTGGAATTAGTTGTACATAGGGATGGACGATTTTTTACCGATTAATCGAAAACACCGATAGTTTTTTAATTTATCGATTTTTTCATCGATTATTTTTCCGTTTAATTGGTCGAAGTTCGATTTTTTCTCTCAACAACAATAAACTTCCACTCACAAAGTGTATTCGTTTATATAGTGGTTAGCACAGAGAGTATCATTTTATCTTTAAGATACTTTTACTGACTTTTACATGGCAGCGTCAAACGTCGAGCATCGTAAGCTTATTCGTCAATTTTGATCACGTGACCTTTTTTTAATCATAGACTTATATCAATAGACTGCTGACTCAATGTGATAGAAAGGGATGAACCTGATTTCGAGCTGTCCTTGTTTCAGTTCTTATATGTGTGTGTATGCATCCTGTCTATGAGTATCGCGTGAATTTATGTGAAAACATTACTAGTCATAAGTCATAACAGAAAGATTATAACAAATGTCAAATGTCATTTCATAGTGGCCTTTCATTCTATTATATTCTGAAAAACAAAAAATGATAATTTGTAGCGTGATAAACTGCAAAAATCGATATAAAATAGGAAGTAATGTTTATTTTTTTACATAAGTATTTCTCATGATATATTTATTATAAAGACAATAAATATTTTAAAATTAAGTATTTCCAAATTCAGTTGAAAAATACAATAATATTTCAATATTATGTATTATATACGTATATTATTAATATAAATATATATAAATATGAACATAAATATATAAATATATAAAATATAAATATCTCGGTAATATTATTTTTATTACTAAATATAAATATATAAAATATAAATGTATCCCGGTATTGTATTATTTTTATTACACTAAGGTATTACACTACAAAGTAATTTTGCAAAAAAAGTGATGTATGAATATGTATAGACATATTTCATGTATAATTGTATATGTTCATGAATATTTATACATGTTTATGTATGTTTATACATATTTAAACATATTCATGAAAAATTTTTTACCGAGATATGTGTATGATAATGCTAATATAATAAAGACTTTAATTTTTTTTAATGTACTATTTGTAACTTTCACTAAACAAGCTTCATAAACGTATTAATATAATTGATATAATTGAAATTTTATATTGTTGGGAAAAGCTGTATTATATTCTATATAAATAGGTTTTCTTTAAATAATGAAAATCGTTTTTATAAATTAATTGTTGCTGTCGGAAAATCGAATTGGAAACCGAGAAAAACAAGAGAAAAACAGAATTTGTAGTCTGCATTTTAGTAAAAAAGACTTTATGCAAGGAATAGGATTTTATTGTCCTTACTTACATAAAAATGCAGTACCATTTGTCGCAGAAAAAGCCCTGGTTGATATTGCAATGTTAAAGTCAAAAGAGGTATATTTGACACTCAAGACCTAAATTTAAAAGATAATTCTTTACTCAAATAAAAAACGCGAATTCTTTTAAACTGATTCAAAAGAGATCTACAGTGCTACAAGCATTAGTGAATCAGTAAGCTACATTAAAATTTGTGATTTGAACAAAAGTATTGCATTAGATCACATCTATTCAAAGAATAACGTTACAATTAAAAATGATGACTCATGTACATTTGACAATAAAGATTTAATTCAATTGATTCAATGACAATTATTGATCTAAATAAAAAACGTAAATTTATTCAAACTGGTTCAAAAGATATTGCGTCTATTTCACATAACTCAAATTTCAACTTTCGAGAGGAACAGATCTGATTACTACAAAAAGAATAGAGTTATCGAAAACTGTAGAAAATCTAAAAATAAAAACTAAAATTTCACAACAGAAATGGAAAAAATATAATAAAAAATTTACGTACTTAGTGCAAAAATGGGTTAATTCATTACAACCGAAGGAACTTATTGCGGACAGTCCTTTGCAATTATTAAGAAAATAATTTAAAAACATTATATTAGAATATTGGTAAATGTTAAGAAGACCCTGTCTACTCCAAATTTTGATAAAAATATACTCAATCAATGCATTTTTACACGAAAGAATTTGGCAGAAAAAGATATCGCTCTGCCTAGCGAACCGAGATATTAAAGGTTAAAGTTGACGACTATTCAGGTTAGGAAATCTGTCATACTGACTCGATATGAGCACTGTAGCCTCTCGCAGCACTGCCACAGCGTGCTACGATGATTTTTGGAACGGTGTTGCCAGCGCTGACGAACAATTTTGGAACACAGCCTTAGTGGTAGGGATGGGCGATGTTTCATCGATTATACAAAAATTGAAGTTTTTTCCGCTCAATAATCGATACTTGATTCGATGTTTCAGAATTCGATTAATCGGTACATCGATCTTCTTTTTAATATCGATTATGGTTGGCTCTCATTAGGTGCATCCTTTGACTATATACCTCTGGACTGCTAGTTACCCCCACTTTTCCTACCTTTTCCATAAGATAGAAAGAGAGGATCGTGTATCCAAGATCTCAGAGCCATCAGGTCCGGAAGTTGGCCAAATCAAGAACTAACTAGCTGCATTTTAAGTAAGAATCGGTACGAATAACTCCGAATAAATAATTGAAGTGATCCAGAAGTACTGCTAAATAAAAAATGGTTCGTTCTTGTTTTGCTAAATTATGTAATAATACCAGATACAAAGCTGTAGGAGTAATTAAATGTGATGCGGGAAAAATATAGATTTAAAATCAATTCGAAAAAGGAACCAAATTTAATATATATAATAAAATAAAGTACATATTACAGTACAATAAAATATACATGAAAAGAAACACGGTAGGACAAATCTAAATAAAATATATCTGAAGAAAATAATATATATAAGATATATA